AGGGCTGACTACAGTCTTGGCACTAAAAGCTAGTAATTAGCAATATTTCACATCCTTCACCAAGGCTAATCCTGGAAAAGATAAACTGATATAATAAAGAAATGGCTAGAGAAATCACAACTGCAAATACATTAAAATTTTATGTGAGGAGAATAAGAAACTTATTTACACGTATAAAATGTTTGTTAAAATGAGACAGCAGGAAGTAACAGGCCTTTCTAACTGTCATTTCCCATTCAACTACAACCTGTAGTAGACACTAAAAGAAGTTTATTCTTTCTTTCAAATGAGTATGCACTCCTATATTTTTCTATTCTGTGATACTTCATGAGCACCTGCATTTAATTCCACACTTATTTTAGCTTTGTGCAGTAGTTAAAGAAATTAAAGTTGCCTATATGGTCTGATTCAGTAACTCGTTAGATGTATGTGGCTGATAGGGAAATTTGGTAGTTAACAGATGGTTTTAGAGTCTCTAGAAATTTAAGACATCTGGAGAAACAACACAGTTTTTGCTAGGGAAGCTAACAGTGAGATGAAAATCTCAAGATTTTGCCTCTTGACTGTTATCAAGTGTACCTGGAGCTGATGAACTCATCTTTTATCAGTCTTGAATGACAAATTAAATACATCCCTGGTTTGTTTGGTAGTGTAGAACCGGTATTTTGCCACACACAAGCAAAATCAGGGAGGGTGGCTTTAGTGCCCTGTCACCAGGCATAGCAGGAGGCACATGCTTGCACTGCAATTCAAGTGTACTTGGTCATGGTAACAAAACACAATTTAGCACTGGAGCTGGGCAGAAGTTTTCATTTGGGAATGGCACCATGACCCTGTGCCACAGACTGCATTAAATAATTCCTAGGAGTGAACTTGTCCAAGCTGGCATAGACATAGAGCAAAGACTGAAATATGTCTGAGCCTACCTGGCCATCACAGCTTTCCCTCTGCTTTCCCAGGTGGTGCTTTGTGACTCTTGATGCCAGTTTATTCTCACTAGCTTAGTAATACGTCACTTATTGTATGGACTCCCCAAGGCACTTCCAGGCCAGAATCCCAGCTGGGGATAGGCAGATACAGGCACATTTCACCAGACTCTCCCTTTGCCCTCACCTGTAAATGCAGCGCCAAAGACAATGTGGAGTGTGCACAGGAGCCATCTGTGCCACCACACACCTTCTGAAACTTCCCTATTGAGGGTTTAAAGAGTGAGACTGAAAACATGCCCTGAAATATTGGCTGTGTTTCTTAACTTACAAAAGAAAGCCATGATCATCGCTCAGATATAAGAGCCTGAGGAGAACTTTGCTAGAGCCATGGTATGTGAAAATGGCTGTCAAGCTTCTCAGTCAAACTTAGGCATCTAAAAAAAGGTCTTTTTTTAAAAAAAAAAATTAGAATATCTAACTTCGTATTTTCACAAACCAAGCATCAGAATGAAAAAATAAGTGTTGAAATGACTCCATGGTTTGTAAAGCTCTCTTACAGGATGAGGTGAAAGAAATAAATTGAGGTTAACAAGAGACCTCAGGAAAGTGGAGATGCAGGAAATTAAACCTTACTGTTCTCAGCATTTATTTGGAGAAAAAAAAATTAATAGCATTTTGTTTTGTAGCAAACATCTTTCACAAGGGTTCCTAGCAAATATCAGCCACACATGTATTGCTTTATCAGAAAGCTGGCAAGCAACGACACAAAAAGCACAGATGGGAATGCAGAGATGGAAAAATAAACAAAAGGTATTCTGGCTTGTATCTTAAGTATTTATAAAGTACTAGCCTGGTATCTAATTATAGGCTGCGCAGGAAGTAACAGCTATAGTTAAAGTTTCTTGACCTTAACTGCATGTCTGCATGTCTTCTGTTGACTTCAACATCAGCAAATTCTTTAAGCTGCTGTTTTCCATGGTGAGTATTTGCCCCTAACTGCAGATATTCCAAACAGAATCAGCCCAACTATTTCACCTGTTTTGCAGGAAAAGAGTAGGGGGGGGGGGGACACACA